AACCTCATTTATCAAACAGCAGGAGAACTGTTACATATGGTGATAGGCCTTATGGAAATGCTTAGATGGAATAAAAATGTGAGTAGATTGGATTAAATTACCTGCAAGAAAGAAAGAAACTCAGATGGAAGTAAAAAGAACCAATCATAGATATAAATCAAACATGGTTGCATGGAAATGTTAGAGCCTGTTTATAAATTGTTACCTTTGGGGTTTGCTATGAAAAAAAGGTTCCTGGAATGTATATGCAAGCATGTTTTAAATTTAGCAAAGGCAAATAAGAGTAAATTAACTACACCCACCACATTTCTCGCCCACCCAAGATATAAAGGTTAGAGGTCGCTTACATAAATTCTGACATTGCTAATAACACAAGAGAGTAGCTTACACTAAAATCCTAGTACTGGAAATCAGAGTACGTATGGGAAAAGGAGAATTCTCCATATGGATGAAGAGAAGTGCTTACAACACAGACAGATAGGAATGAGACATAGTAAACAGGTAAAATTTTGAATTCCACAACCAGTCTCTATTCCATCTTAATAAAGATTTCAAAATTTACTTAATTCTTAATTATAAATCACACAATTTACAAGAAATTGGAGAAAAACAAATTTTATTTGCTTGCTTTATTAGAAAGACTGGAGACGCACAAATCTTTCTATAATACCAGCTCTATAACTGTCTTATAAAATTATGAGATGAATTCATGGACAAAAACATGAGAAAACTGTTAACTATCTCTGATTGGGGCGGGGACATAAGATATGAGAATGTAAGAATGAGAATACAGATATAGCAAAAAATACAGATACAGAGAAAAATCACAAAGGAGAGGAATATACAAAAGAATTACAATTCAATATTGTTTTTTAAAAGCTGGACACTGAATTTGGATGGGTCTTTAATAATCTACATAGAAGAATATTTCTGGGAATTTAAGGTCTCTGTTCTTGGCCCAAGCACAAATGGATGAGTCTGAACACTCCTAAGCTAGAGCCCAATGCTCCCAAACACAGGGAAAAATGTTGAAGATCTGTCTATGTAACCAGAGTTTCAGTATCTGACAGGTCCTTGAGATGCCCCCACCTCACCATCCAAAGAGACACACAGGAGGTTGGGTACAAAAGATGTTACCAGTGTGAGAAACAGAGAATAAGAGTGAGGAAAACACAGTTGCCTCAGGATAGCAACAGCAATAGGAAACTGTCAGATATGCTCAGAAATGAAAATAAAGGTCTCCATGACCCTCAAAACCACTATGATACTTTATACTTCTGCTCTGTCACATCTACAGACTGTGTTCAAAAAAATGAACCCATGTACCTTGTAGGTGCATCAGTAGGAGACAAAGAGAATAATCAATTTGTCAACTGGCAAGCATATTGTTTAAGTAGAGGACTTTATCCTGGTGCTTCTCTGGCACACCACCTTCTTCCAACTTCCTTCCCCTCAGCAAGGTCATACTGGGTGACTCACAGAGTAATTTGAATTTTAAAAGGAAATAAAATTTCAGGCAAAGAAATGCATCTACCAGACTTGTGCTAAATAAGCACACCCCTCTGTTGGAAGTCCTGACAAGAATGGAAACAGGTCTGGTAGAAGAGGTGCTGACCGGCAGGCATTATTCCATTCCCAGACTACCACAAACCTGGAAAAAAAAAATCTCAAATTGTTCACTTGTGTTCAAAACTATCTAAGCCCCCTGAATGCAGGGTGCCAAAGAATTAACTAAAAGTCATTTCTTCACATTCTCAAAGCCTTGCAGGAAATAGTCATGCATTCATTTTTCAAAAATTCCTCACATTTCAAAGGCAATGATCTAGGTAAAGTCAAATTGAAATCACAGACCCACCCAGTGCCCCCAGAAATGTCCTCTTGAAGAAGAGCCTCCAATCAAGCTCCCTCTCCGGTGGCAGAGGTTACTCTGGGTAGTACTTCCGCAAGGCAAGGTAGCATAGAGCCTGTTGCCACTGACTTGCCTTCCAAGGCAGCTCTCCAAGTCAGAGTTCTTCATAAGTCACACACAAAAAACAAGTTCATTCTCTTTTCCTCACTCATTAAAAATAAACCCAAATGGTACTCAGATTTAGAAGACACCTACCAATGTAAAAGTTAAAGAAAGAGGGGGAGGCACACACCCATGTAATCTTTCCATTCAAAGAGGCACTATTCCACAACTGCTCTGGAGTTTATAATTAACAAACAAGCTTAATCAACAACAGAGATTTCTAAACTCTTGTAATTCACACTGGAATCTGGCTTATTCCAAAATTAGATCACAACCAATGGGCTAGATACCCTGGCTAAATCAGAAAACTCTGTGTGTCGAGGGGTGGGGGTGCTGTGGACTGAACCCAGGGCCTAAAACACGCTAGACAAGTGCTCTACTACTGAGCATTAGGTATTTACACAGATTACCTCCTCCAGTGAAATCACAGTATTATAATTCCCATTTGAAGTCAGAAAAAGCAGTACTTCCAGTGCATTACCTGACTCCAGAGTTCACCCTAAGCTTGCTAACCCCAGGAGTACTGGAAAGAGCTCCTAGTTCCCAAATATACTCTTCAACTAGCCAGAGTAAGCACTGGTCCTTGAAAAATCACTAGTGTGAAGTGGACCTTACATGTCTCTAATCAGTTTTTTTTTTCCCAGTACCGGGGATTGAACTCAGGACCTTGCACTTGCCAGGCAGGCATGGCACCACTGAGCTACATCCCCGCCTGTTTCTAAATCCTATCTGAATGCGGACATTGCCCCAGGAAAGAACAGGTGGTTGGTATCTGACCTGCCACAAACCCTCTGAAGTTATTAGATACTGGCTGTCATCTGGGGCAACAGCACATTCAGGAGGAGCTTACTGTGAGACACAAGTGAGTTCTAACAGGATGAAGTGAAAGACAAACTTTGGGTATTTTAATCTTTTCCAATAAGACCATTTATATAAATAAAAATTCTTCCTGCCACCTTCATAGTACTTGCATATTATACTTTTCTATTACAGTAACTGGTGAAATGTATAATAAATAGGGCTTACTAATTTATGAACTAGTGGTACTTATAGCTGAATTTTTATTTTAGTAAACAGCAGAACCACTTGGAAATCTATAGTATTAGGTGTCCTATATATACAGGAGGATAGGACTGCCAGGCACTTCAGCAGTATGCCTGTAATCCCAGCTACTCAGGAGGCTGAGGCAAGAGGAGTGAGACTTGGAGGCCAGCCTCAGCAACTTAGCAAGATCCTGTATCAAAGTAAAATAAAAAGGGCTGGGGATGTAGCTCAGTGGTAGAGTGTTTGCCTAGCATGCACAAGGCCCCAGATTTAATCTTCAGTACCCCTAACCACCCGCACCCCAAAAAAAGTACTAGTCTTAGATGATTCTACAAACCCTTTCCTTGAAATCCTGCATTTAGAACTCACAGGCTAGGAAAGCCCTGGCTACCGTAGCACACTGGGTATTGTTCTCAGGTGAGCAGGCTTAGTGGGCTGTCTCAGCGTGGGAACTGGAGGCAGAGAACAAAGAAGTGGGAGACCACAAACCACACCTCCCATACTTTATCATTTTGCTTAAGACCGATACTGCAGCCCTTTTTCCAATGGCCAACATAAAATACTGACCTTTGAGCAGGGAAACCATGGAGCCCAGGCACTCACTATAGTAAGTAATAAATGAGAGAAGAGAGTGACAGTGACACAGAAGAAAATCAGCTCATCTTGATGCCAAATTTACTTGTCTAAATGAACACCAGTAACGTCACCTAGGAAAAACAGCAAGGCTGGTCTTCAGTAAACTTTGGTGTCTAGGTTTGAAATGGATTGAGTGAAAAGGCCAACAGGTGATAAAACGGCACATTCACACATGCCTGTGCTAGTGTGAGAAACACATGGTCATAATTTAAGAACCTACCCTATTATTTCCCACCAAAAGGAGAGTCAGTAAACATCATCACTACTAAAAGTATCTCACAAATCTATGCTTTACATATACTCAAAGTCAAACTTGGATTCTTTAATGTAGAAGAAAAAGATTAAAACCAATAAACACAGAGCTATCACAAATAAATGAAAAGCACTAAACACACTATTGTTTTTAGACAGGGTCTCACTATGTAGTACACATTGGCCTTGAACTCACTATGTACCCCAAGCTGGCCTCAAACTCACAGTGATACTTCTGCCTCAGCCCTCTGAGTGCTGGGATCACAGGCGTGCACCACCACACCCAGCAGAGTACTAAAATTTAAAGGAAATAGCCCTGCATTTTTCCCGCTTATCGCTCCCATTACTGTCTATTACCACTCTTGGCACACTACTGAACATGCTGTGAGCAGTACTGTACCTTTATACCCATAAACACTCAGCATGCAATAAGCTGGTGTCTCTGTCACAATCACTCACTCATATACACAGACATCACATGGTCCTACCTGACCTTCCTACTCAACCCTGGGAGGCAGTACAAATGTCCCCTTCTTTCTCCTCCACTCCAGCACATTCCCCAACTTATTGCACCACGACTCCCATGACAGCACTCACCACAGAGGGAGGTCACTGGAGCCACCTCATCCCTGCATGTCACTCACCTTTCAACTCATAAAACCCAGCACAGTGCTTAGCACCAAATGTTTTACAAAAGTATACTGCAAAAGCAATGGCATGAATAGGTAATTAAGGAGAAAAGATGCTACTGAATATATGAGAATTATTACATGAAATTGTGTTAGCTTTCAATTACTGGGGAAAAGTCAACTAATCACCTCGCCTTTCATGGTAACTGATTTTACACATGCTGTAAAGGAAGATGAAAAAGGGAAGGTTTGTTTTTCCATCAGAAGGTTTGAATTAGACACAGGGTTCCAAACAGTAAAGAATCTTGCATTGCTCAAAAGAGCAAGAGCCTCCCTGGAAGATAAATGCTTGTGAGGGAAACTGTAACCAGCCTTCACTCATTCACCTTCCAATTCCCCGATAATCGAGGCACACGAGGAGCACTCACCCGGCTTGTTTCCTTCCCTCTCGTGGCCCAGCTGCCCCTTGGTGTTCAAACCACACGTATAAACCTCCCCATCCTCCAGCAGGAACACAGAGTGGTTTCCTCCACAGGCCACCTCCTTGACGCTTCTGTCCGATATGAATCCACACACCTGTGGCTCAGCCACAATTCCTTGCAGATTGGTGCTGATACCTGGTTGGCCCAAAGACCAATATCCCCAACATAACATTGTTCTTCTCCTTCAGGCAGTCATGTAGCCTAAAAGAGAGTTTTGTGAAAGAAAATGTTAAAAAAGATAAAAATTAAGAAAAAAATAGGTCAGAGCAAGTCAATTTAAGTTTAAAAAGTAACCAATTTTAAAATAATCCTACTGCTAATATTCCTCAGATATAGTACATCTCAAAATAAAACATTAACATTAAGTTACAATGATGTTGTTTTATGCTTTAGTAAGACTTTTAAGGGCAATTTTAAAAAGACTTTGTGTGAATGAATAAGCTATAGTTTGCAGGTCTCAGGTAGAACCCCCTAGTACAGCAAATCGGTTGAAACACATTCTGCAAACTATAAAGTAGTAACAGTTTTTAAATTATTCTTATGACCTTATTCTTTCTCAATGTACCTCTTTTTGAGGTACATTACTAGTCCTTTATAAAAGTTTGAACCAATTAGCTCCTCTGGGTAATCCTATTGTTAGCTTGGTTAGAAGTATTTCACCACTTGAAAGAAAAATGATAAATGGGGAAAAAAAGTCATCTCCTCACCACGCTAACCCATCCTCCACATCTGAGACGAGCTTCACTTCTACTGGGAGCCCATTCCAGTGACAGTCTGCATTCCTCTCACAGGGCCACTACACTGCCTTAAGTGGCAGCTTTTTCTTTAAACCTTGATAATTGGGGGGAGGGGTTACAGGTGTGTGCGACCATGCCCAGCTCATTCTTTTTTTTTTTTAATGAATTTTATTAGTACATTTTAGGTATACAATGTAATGACATTCACCATCATTGGAAATTTGCACCTTTACATAATCTCTCTTGGTTCTTATTTTTTCCCCATTTCCTGCCCTCCCTTCAGCCCCTCCATCCCTCCCTATTTACAAAGACTTTGTTTCCATTTTTTCATTTTCTCACATTAATTCCATTCCCTTCTTTCTTATCCCCTACCCCTCCCACTTCCCCTTCCCCTTTGCCCCTTTTCTTCCTATTTCACATTACCTATTATACATTTTAGTCCTTATTTACACTTTCAGTTTCTCGCACTAGAGAAACTATTCCGTATTTAAATCTTGATAATTTAATGCCCCACTATATTTTAATCTCCTTCAACAGAAACCACCGTATAACATAGGCTTCTTTTATTTAGCTGGTACCCAGTCAATTTTGGCTGGCTGATTACTACTAACACTAGCTTAGTTTCACAGTCTTTTAAAAATGCCTGTTTCTCTTTCATACAAACAAAAACAAAATCTCATCTCTACCCGTTTGTGTCCCCTAGGACAGCCAAATAATAAGTGTTGATGAAGATATGGAAAAAATGACAGCCTTCCTACACTGCTGATGGGAACGGTGTTGAGGCTTTAGAAAACAATCTGGCAGTTCCTCTAAAGGTTAAAACAGAGCTATCATATGATCCAGCAATCTCATTCTTAAGTACATACCAAAGGGAACTGCAAAAAAAAAAATCCACACAACACTTGTCTGTGAATGTTCACAGCAGCATTATTCACACCAAAAAATGGAAATAACCCAAATGTCCATCGATGGTAAATAGATAAACAAAATGTAATCTATCTATTCAATGGAATATTTGCCCACAACATGGATGAACCACAAAAACATTACGGTAAGTCAGAGAAACCAGTCACAAAAGACCAGAGAACTGTCCACAAAAAGCAAATCTACAAAGACTGAAAGATCAGTGGTTGGAAGGGCAAGAAGATAGCCAGGGAATAGAAAATGACTGCTTCAATTTCTTTCAAGGAGTGGTGAGATGTTCTGAATTGTGATTGTGATGATGCTTATACATTGTGGTGAACATACTAAAAACCTCTTAACTTTATACTTTAAGTGGGCAAATTTTGTGAATTCTCAATAAAGATTTTAAAAATAATTCCCAAATCGTCTTTCTTCTTGAAATATATGTATAACCTTTCAGTCCATACCAGCCAATAAGACTGTTGAGTTTAATTACTAAAACTGTCATTATAAAAATAATATACACAAAATGCTTCATAAGAAGCATTTCTCCTAAAACACAAGGGGGGGAGGAACAATCCTTAGAGCTACTATGGATAACCGTGGAGATACCAATATTCTATTGGCCTTTTCTGCTTACAAAGACTTAAGAAGAGGGAAAGCTTTGTCTATGCATTGATCAGAAAAAAAAATGTAACTTCATACATTCTTTAACTTTTACTATTGCTAAATTTGGATCGAGTAGGTGGTTCTTCTCTTCAGGAAAACACCTACTAGGCCCCTCTAGCTCTGAAAGAAAGCTCCAAGATTTAGAGAAGAAAAGGAGATAAGAGGAAATCCTAAGCACTTCCATTATGGCTTAGATCTAAAATGTCCCCCAAAAGTCTCATGTGCTCCAATGCTGGGACTTCTGGAAAGTGACTGGGTCACAAAGGCATTATGCTTATCAGTGGAATGTGCTGGAAGATGAAGCCCAGTTGGAAAAGGTAGGTCACTGGAGAAGGTATGCCTTCAAAGAGAGTATCTCTTATCTCTCTGGCTCTTTGCTTTTTTTCTGCTCCTTAGAAGCTATGGGTTAAGCAGTTTTCCTCAGACCCTTCCACCATGCTTTTTCTGCCTTAGGGCCAGCGAACCAGGAATTAAACCCTCTGAAACCATGAGACAAAATAAACCTCTCCTCTAATTGTGGGTGTTAGTATTTTGTCCCAGCCATGGGGGAAAAAACTGACTAATACAATATCTTATAGAAAAGTAGAGAGCCTGGGAGTGTGGCTCAGGTGTAGCGTTCTAGCATGCTTGTGACCCTGGATTCAATCCCCAGCGCGCACACACACACACACACACACACACACGCACACACGCACACACACACACACACAAAAACAAACAGAAGCTCCTGATTAACATGCCAAATTAAGATGGGAGTAATTCAATCCCATAATATGGCTGGAAGTTTGGAACATGTCTAGTAAGTAGTGGATTCTATAAAGTACAGAAGAGCAATGGAACTTTGCGAAGTGTTATCTAATGCTCACCTTGAAGTTGCTGCCTATCCTGTGATTACACTTCAGAACCCCAAACTTTGTCAAAATTAACACAGAACACACTCTTACAATAATTTTACTTTTCCAGAATGGCTAAAATAAAAAAAATCCTCGAAAAGTAAGCTCATGAAGTCCCTCATGAATACTGAAGATTATGTGAAGAACAAGAAATTTGGGTGAGCCATGATAGAAGAACATCTTTCTTTGCCTCATGAATTCTTAGAAATCTGTGGAAGACTCTAAACCTCTAACCTAATGCCCAATGTTCTTCAACTCAAATCACTTTATCTGGATGTTAAAGTAAATAATGAAGAAGACTAGTTCTAAGGACATTCAGACTACATTTCCTTTCCCAAATACAGATTTTATATGGTATGAAATATTCTTGTCTATTTAAAGCTGCTATTCTCCCCATATTGAGAATCAATTTCAAATTCTAGATGTCAAAGAAAGAGGATTTCCAGACAAGACTGCAGACATCAGAGGTGTCTTACCCAATCTTCAGCCAATGGAAAGAGGATAAATTCTAGCAGAAATGGTAAAGTCTTATTTTGAATTATAGTACTAGATAGACAATATCAAAAGCTGAATTTATCAACCAATCTTAAAAGAGAATTTTTGCTAATTTCTATGAATCTAAAGGTACAAAGGAAACAGCTAAATGGCTTTTCTGGGCAAACTTACTTTTTAGCCATCTTTTCTTTTCTTTTTTGTGCTACTAGGGATTCAACCCAGAGCCTTACACAAGTTGTACACACTAGGCAAGCACTCTACCACTGAGTGATTATGCTCAGCCCCTCTTCTTTCTTTTTTGAGATACGATCCCATTAAGTGGCCACAAACTTGTGATCCTCCTGCCTCAGCCTCCCTAGTAGCTGCAAATTCAGGTTTTAAAATGACAAACTCCTTTCTGCCAACATAAAACCATGCCCAAATTAGAGATTACAGCCCCCTCAGCGCAGAGGAGGTGAACCACTCCCAGCGCCCAGGAGGCGGCTTCCAGGACACCATACCACACCCCCAGTGCAGAGGAGGTGAGCCGCACAGGCACCAGCAACACTCCATCCCCGGTTGAAATGAGAAGACACATAAATAAGTCTCAAAACCAGACTCCCAGATCACCTAAAGCAACTGCAAAGGGAAACGAGATGGAACACTCTGGTACTCAACTACCTGGACTCCCTGAACTGGCAACAAAAGAGGATCTGGAAAAAATGAAATCAGAAATAATTTCTCAGGCAACAGCAGAAATTGTGCCCATAGTGCAAGACATGTTTAATAAATCTAGAGAGGACACTGATAAAAAAAAAAATAGAGGAACTGAGGAACATGACGGAATCCCAACAAAGGAAACAAATGGAATCCATAAAACAGATGCAAACAGATTTCCAGAAGATTAAAAAGTCCACTGAAACCTTATGCAGCAGAATGAGCCAATGTGAGGATAGAATTTCACATACAGAAGATAAGATTGCAATTAGTGACCAGGAAAAGAAAAATTTCTTTAAAATAGTAAGGGACCACGAGAAATCAATCCAGCAGCTGCTAGACAATGCAAACAAGAATAACAGAAGACTGATTGGAGTCAATGATGAAACAGGAGAGAGTGCAGACAACATAAAAAAACTGTTCACAGAAGCGATGGCAGAAAACTTCCCAAGCAGGGGCAAAGAACTTGACATACAGATAAGTGAGGCATATTGGACTCCAAATAGCCTGGATCAAAAAAAATCTACACATAGGCATATAATTGTTAAGATTCCACAAACCCAACAGAAGAACAAAATTCAACAAGCAGTCAGAGAAAAGAAACAAATCACATACAAAGGAAAGACCATCAGAATCACAGACTTCTCAACACAAATTCTCAAGGCAACAAAAGCTTGGAGTGACATATTTCAAGTCCTAAAGAAAAACAGCCTCCAACCCAGAATGATGTGCCCTGAAAAACTATCTTTCAAAATGGATGGAGAAACAAGATACTTTCATGACAAAGAGCACCTTAGAAACTTCATGA